TGTAACACAGGTAAGAACCCTTTCTTTGACTGATCCATTTTGAACTTCTTCAAAACTTTATCAAGGTATGTGCTATGTGAAAATCCAATTAAGCGTCTTGATCTATCTCTATTAATCTTGATTCTCAATATATAAGAAGCTTCAGCAAGGTCTTTCATTGAAAAACTCTTATTCAAGTATCCTTTTATGTTATCCAGAAATTATATATCATTTCCACTCAACAATATGGCATCCACATATAATATTAGAAATGCTATAGAGCTCCCACTCACTTTATTGTAAATACAGGCTTCTCTAAAAGTTTTTATAAAACCATATGCTTTGATCACCTCATCAAAGCGTATATTCCAACTCCAAAATGCTTGCACCAGTCCATAAATGGATCGCTGGAGCTTGCACACTTTTTTAGCACCTTTAGGATCGATAAAACCTTCTTGTTACATCATATACAACTCTTCTTTAAGACATCCATTAAGGAATGCAGTTTTGACGTCCATTTTCCAGATTTCATAATCATAAAATGCGGCAATTGCTAACATGATTCGGACAGACTTAAGCATCGCTACGGGTGAGAAAGTCTCATCATAGTCAACCCCTTGAACTTGTCGAAAACCTTTCGCAACAAGTCGAGCTTTGTAGATAGTGACATTACCATCAGCGTCAGTCTTCATCTTGAAGATCCATTTATTCTCTATGGCTCGCCGATCATCGGGCAAGTCAACCAAAGTCCATACTTTGTTCTCATACATGGATCCTATCTCAGATTTCATGGCCTCAAGCCATTTTGCGGAACCTGGGCTCATCATCGCTTCCTCATAGTTCGTAGGTTCGTCATGGTCTAGTAACATGACTTCCAGAACAGGATTACCATACCACTCTGGTGCGGAACGTGCTCTGGTTGACCTACGAGGTTCGGTAGCAACTTGGTCTAAAGTTTCATGATCATCATCATTAGCTTCCTCTCTAGTTGGTGTAGGCATCACGGGAACGGCTTTCTATGATGAGCTACTTTCCAATTCGAGAGAAGGTACAATTACCTCATCAAGTTCTACTTTCCTCCCACTCACTTCTTTTGACAGAAACTCCTTCTCTAGAAAGGATCTATTCTTAGAAACAAAGATCTTGCCTTCGGATCTGTGATAGAAGGTGTACCCAATAGTTTCTTTTGGGTATACTATGAAGATGCACTTCTCCGATTTGGGTTCGAGCTTATCAGGTTGAAGCTTTTTCACATAAGCATCGCAACCCCAAACTTTAAGAAACGATAGCTTAGGTTTCTTGCCAAACCACAGATCATACGGCGTCATCTCAATGGATTTAGATGGTGCCCTATTTAAAGTGAATGCAACTGTCTCTAATGCATAACCCCAAAATGATAGTGGTAAATCGGTAAGAGACATCATAGATCGCACCATATCTAATAAAGTACGGTTACGATGTCCGGACACACCATTACGCTGTGGTGTTCCAGGTGGCGTGAGTTGTGAAACTATTTCACATTGTTTTAAATGAGGGCCAAACTCGTAACTCAAATATTCGCCTCCGCGATCAGATTGTAGAAACTTTATTCTCTTGTTATGATGATTCTCCACTTCACTCTGAAATTCTTTGACTTTTCAAATGTTTCAGACTTGTGTTTCATTAAGTAGATATACCCATATCAGCTCAAATCATCTGTGAAGGTCATAAAATAACGATACCCGCCATGAGCCTCAACACTCATCGGACCACATACATCGGTATGTATTATTTCCAATAAGTCAGTGGCTCGCTCCATTGTTCCGGAGAACGGAGTCTTAGTCATCTTGCCCATGAGGCATGGTTTGCAAGCACCAAATGATTCATAATCAAGTGATTCCAAAAGTCCATCCGCATGGAGTTTCTTCATGCGCTTTACACCAATATGACCTAAACGGCAGTGCCACTAATATGTTGCAATATCATTATCAACTTTGCATCTTTTGGCATCAATATTATGAATATGTGTATTACCACGATCAAGATTTAACAAAAATAGACCATTCTTCAAGGGTGCATGACCATAAAAGAAATTACTCATATAAATAGAACAACTATTATTCTCTAATTTAAATGAATAACCGTCTCGCATTAAACAAGGTCCAGATATAATGTTCATGCTCAACGATGGCACCAAATAACAATTATTCGGGTCTAAAACTAATCTCGAATGTAGATGTAGAGGTAGCATGCCGACGTTGATCACATCGACCTTGGAATCATTCCCGACGCGCATCATCACCTCGTCCTTAGCCAATCTTCATTTAATCCGTAGACCCTGTTTTGAGTTACAAATATGAGCAACCGAACCGATATCAAATACCCAGGCACTACTACGAGTATTAGTAAGGTACACATCAATAACATGTATATCAAATATACCTTTGTTCACTTTGCCATCCTTTTTATCCACCAAATACTTGGAGCAGTTCCGCTTCCAGTAACCAATTCCTTTGCAGTAAAAGCACTCAGTTTCAGGCTTAGGTCCAGACTTGGGCTTCTTCCCGAGAGTGGCAACTTGCTTGCCATTCTTCTTGAAGTTGCCCTTCTTTCCTTTGCCCTTTTTCTTGAAACTAGTGGTCTTGTTAACCATCAACACTTGATGCTCCATCTTGATTTCTACCTCCGCAACTTTGAGCATTGCGAAGAGCTCGGGAAGTCTTTTCCATCCCTTGCATATTATTGTTCATCATGAAGCCTTTGTAGCTTGGTGGCAGTGATTGGAGAACTCTGTCAATAACACTATCATCTGGAAGATTAACTCCCAGCTGAGTCAAATGGTTATGATACTCAGACATTCTAAGTATGTGTTCACTGACAGAATTGTTCTCCTCCATCTCGCAGCTATAGAACTTGTTGGAGACTTCATATCTCTCAACTCGGGCATTCGCTTGAAATATTAATTTCAATTCCTGGAACATCTCATATAGTCCATGACGTTCAAAACATCTTTGAAGTCCCGATTCTAAGCCGTAAAGCATGGCGCACTGAACTATCAAGTAGTCATCAACACGCGACTATCAGGCATACACAACGTCTGCAGTTGCTGGAGAGGGTGGCACACCTAGCGGTGCATCAAGGACATAATTCTTCTATGCAGCAATCAAGATAATCCTCAAGTTACGGACCCAGTCCGTGCAGTTGCTACCATCATCTTTCAACTTAGTTTTCTCTAGGAACGCATTAAAATTCAAGTGAACGGTAACACGGGCCATTGATCTACAACATAGATATGAAAAAACTATCAGGACTAAGTTCATGATAAATTAAGTTCAATTAATCATATTACTTAAGAACTCCCACTTAGATAGGCATCCCTCGAGTCATCTAAATGCTTATGTGATCCAAGTCAACTAAACCATGTCCAATCATCACGTGAGATGGATTAGTCTTCAATGGTGAACATCTCTATGTTGATCATATCTACTATATGATTCACGTTCGACCTTTCGGTCTCCAGTGTTCCGAGGCCATGTCTATACATGCTCAAGTTTAACTCGAGTATTCCGCATGTGCAAAACTGTCTTGCACCCGTTGTATGTGAACATAGAGCTTATCGCACCCGATCATCATGTGGTGTCTCAGCACGACGAACTGTCGCAACGGTGCATACTCAGGGAGAACACTTATACCTTGAAATATTAGTAAGGGATCATCGTATAATGCTACCGCCGTATTAAACAAAATAAGATGCATAAAAGATAAACATCACATGCAATCAAAATAAGTGACATGATATGGCCATCATCATCTTGTGCCTTTGATCTCTATCTCTAAAGAACCGTCATGATCTCCATCTTCACCGGCTTGACACCTTGATCTCCATCGTAGCGTCGTGGTCATCTCGCCAACTATTGCTTCTACAACTATCGCTAACGCATAGTGATAAAGTAAAGTAATTACATAGCATTTGCATCTCATACAATAAAGCGACAACCACAAGGCTCCTGCCAGTTGCCGATAACTTTACAAAGCATGGTCATCTCATACAATAACGTATATCCATCATGTCTTATATCACATCACAATATGCCCTGCAAAAAAAGTTAGACGTCTTCTACTTTGTTGTTGCAAGTTTTACGTGGCTGCTACGGGCTTCTAATAAGAACTGTTCTTACCTACGCATCAAAACTACAACGGTGATTTATGAAGTTTGTTGTTTTAACCTTCAACAAGGACCGGCCGCAGTCAAATTCGATTCAACTAAAGTTGGAGAAACAGACACCCACCAGCCACCTTTATGCAAAACTAGTTGCATGTCTGTCGGTGGAACCGGTCTCATGAACGTGGTCATGTAAGGTTGGTCTGGGCCGCTTCATCCAACAATACCGCTGAATCAAAATAAGACATTGGTGGTAAGCAGTATGACGATCACTGCCCACAACTCTTTGTGTTCTACTCGTGCATATCATCTACGCATAGACCCGGCTCGGATGCCACTGTTGGGAAACGTAGCATGCAATTTCACAAATATTTCTATGCTCACGCAAGATCTATCTAGGAGATGCATAACAACGAGAAGGGGAGTGTGTGTCCACGTATCCTCGTAGACCGAAAGCGGAAGCGTTTCACAACGCGGTTGATGTAGTCGAACTTCTTCTCGTTCCGACCGATCAGGCGCTAGGATATTTTGCATCGGGGAGAAGAAGGAGCACGTACGAGAGGCTCGATCGGACGGCTACAACAGGAAGGATCGGAAGGCGTGGGGCCGACCGGCCCAAACTTTGGGCCGGCGCGCTGGCGCCGAGTACTGATCTAATTTAAAGCCGGACGCCTCTATATCATCTTTGTTCTAAAAAACCATCTAAACGGCACCAAGTATATACTCCCTCCGTTCAGAATTACTCGTCCAAGAAATGAATGTATCTAGATGAATTTTAGTTATAGATACATCCATTTTTATCCATTTTTATGACAAGTAATTCCGAACGGAGGGAGTAGCTCCTATTGGTCATAAATGGTTGATACAAAAGATGCATCTCCTAGGGAAGTCCAGAATAAGTGGGAAGAATAGAGTGCGGCGTGAGAGCGGTTACCGCCGGGCCGCCATGTTCCTCCATGCTATATACATGCTCCACATCCTCGATTGCAGCAATCATCACATTCGTTCCCCCAGCCTCCGGGTCCGGCCGGTAGAACATCACCACGTCGGTGGAGAGCGTCACGGACTCAGGTAACGCATGTTCGTGTATAATCGGGGGGTTTACGGCCCAAGTCCCATCCAGCGCCGCCGCCGTCAGCCTGCCCCACATCTCCGACCGCGACCATGGTAACGGCAAGACGTTTTTTGGGCCTTGGTCGTCAAGCTCGGGCAGCGACCAGAACAGCGCGCGGTAAGGACCGCCGTCGTAAAAGGACGGCGTTCCCGCCTCCGGATATCCGCGGGTGAAGGGGAGCTGTTGGTCGGCGTCAACGGTGGCGCCGTGCTCGGAGTCACTTTGCGAGGACGGCCGGATGTGCACTATGAGCTCGTCGCCGACGCATTCTGGCACAAAGACGTGGCCTTCGGGCACCGGGATGAATCTCCATGGCTTGTGTGGTTCCGTTGCTTCGTCTTGCTGATCAGGTATCGGTGCATCCTCCGGGCCATCACTAATGCTGGGAAACTCCTGATCCTGCCATAAGGTGATCACGATTCACGAGCGAAGCAAACTCAAAAGTAAGTACAACCAAGTTACGGTAGAAGTAGTATGCGTGCTAAAGTCATCGCGTACACCGACTTTCTGATGTCTTCCATTGTCTGTAAAAAAAATTAGAGGGAACAGCGTGGTGTCCTTACCATGGTTTCACCTGGCTGGAGATCATCTTCCACTGCGACAGTGAATTCAGAGTTTGGCGTGCCGTCGGCTTTGGCGAGTTTGTAGGTCAGCAACTTTATGTCATCTGAATTATTGGACAACATACTTGCTATGCTGTTCATCATCTCGTTGTTGTGTTTTTCTTGGTTCTCTAAATAAAGGCAACCGATCGCAAATTTATTTAGTACTATCAAAGATGGCGATCTTCAAAAAACCGCCATTGCACCTTGCTGCGTTAATTGTCTATATGTTGGCGCACTATGCAATAATTCGGATATACAGTTGATGGATTTAACGTGGTATATACAAGAACAATAATTAATTTCTGGCTCGACACTTACGGATAATTTGCTCCATGCGCGTTAGCTTCGCCTCCGTGTTGTGGAGGTGCATCGCGAGGTCCCTGCTGGTGGTGAAGGACGAGAGGAGGACCGCCGCGTGAAGGCACAACGCGACGGCGAGCCCCACGTGTTTGGCTCTCCGGCCAATGGGAACGATGAGACGAAGGTGGCGCCAGCGAGCGTCGGCGGCACCCACCAATCGATGTCCAGCGAGCAGGTAGGCCACGACGGTGGCGAGGCAGGCGGCGAGCAGCCCGGCGTTGTCCATGAGCGCTAGCTTACCACGATCAGCCCGATGCGTAGAGACGATCGATGTCAGGATCCGCGCGCGGCTCCTGGGCTGCTTTTACCGGCTGGTTTCTTTAGATGACGGATGAATTACGATCGAACTCCTCCTATTCGTCCGACCGGCTAAATTATGATCTGCCACGACAACGACTCATTGATGATAAGTTAGACTCTTTTTCTTTTGGCTGGAGATTGAGGAAAATCCTACCTTTGCACGACAAGGACTGACTGATAGTTGGACTCTTTTTAAAATTTTGTGAACATTTGTTAAAAATTGTGATTTTTTTTAGAAATTCTGAAAGAAAATCAAATTCGTGAACATTTTTTTCCAAATCTGTGCACCCTATTTCAAATCATGAACTTCTTCAAATTTGTGCACTTCTTTAAATCCATGAACATTTTTTCAAACTATGAACATTTTTTCAAATTAATTAACTGGTTTAAATCCACGAACATTTTTAATCCATCAAAACCGGAAGTCAGTTGTGTTCATGAACCAATAGTTGTTCGTTTTTTAATTCAAAAATAGGTGTTTGTTTTTTAGTCGACGAGGGCGACTGAGCTAACCACGGGGGGATTCAGGCGCCTGAAGCGCGCAAGGAATCTTCGGGAGCTCCTATATGCCGCACTTTGAGACAAATAGACGCTCCTTCGCACAGGATACACACCGACTAGGCCGGCCCATTGCGAACGCCTGTGGGTGCATGCAGCGAGCGGGCGCAATGGGAAGCTCCCGATGGTATTGTAGCACAACAGGAAAAAAAACACAAAATAGCAGCACGCTGTAGAGGACCCCTCGGTAATGAAGTGTTCTCGATAGCCATGGGAGCTGATGATTGTAAGTGACTAATTCGTGGTGATAATTTCTAAGAACTAACCACAATGCCAGAACTCAACACATTTTGATTTTATTCAAACAATTCTTGCAAATTGTAGACAATTTTTTTAAAGTAGGCAATGTTTGAAAGTCCGAACATTTTTTGAACAACGCGATTTTCTTAAAAAAATTCCTTTTTTCTAAAGAACATTTTTAAATTGTCAATAATTTTTGGAATGCCAAATATTTTTTGCAATTGTAAACAAGTTTTTGAACATGCAAAAAAATTAATAAATGTGAATTTTTATTGAAAAAATCATCATTTTTTGAAATTTTGGATGGTTTAAAATTCCGAACAAATTTGGAAACCCCTGAAAAAATTTCAAACCTGAACATTTTTTGAAATCCTCGCATGTTTCTGAATCAGTGAACGAATTTTGAAAAAGCATGAACATTTTTTGGAATTCAAAACAAATGGAAAGTAATTTTTGGAAAACTAACAAACATATTTTGAATTTATGAGCAAATTTTAGAAAACAGGAACATTTTTTCAAAGAACGAACATTTATTTTAAAATCATGAAAATTTTTAAAATGTAATTTTTTCTAAATTTGTGAACAAAATTTGAAAAAGGGAACATTTTAAAAATTCGGAATTCAAAAAAAATTCTAAAATAAAAATAAATTTCAAGAAGAAAAAGAAAAGAATGGAAAACAAAACAGAAAAAAGTAAAATATAAATTGAAAAGGGAAGAAAAAGAACAGTAAAACCGGTCTGGGAAGGTTCCCAAAACCAGGATATTCTAGCACGATAATCCTGCTGGAAGTGGGCCGACCTATGTCATTCCCTCGCACCTGTCTCTATCCGTTTCAGTGACAGTTTGTCGCAGTAAGCGTCAAATAGGATATTTTGACATCTCCTATATGGCTTAAGGCGCCGGTTGCGGTTCATTCTGCAAACCGGCGCACACTCCGCCTCAGCACTGGGCCGGTCCATTTTACATTTTTTTTCTATTTTGTGACACTCAAAATGGGTGCGGCGGTGGGGGCGTTAATGATTGAACCCGCACCTATTCCTTGTGCGTTTCAACAAAAGTTTGTCACGGTAAGCGTCAAATAGGATATTCCGGCATCTCCTACACGGCGCTTAAGGCATCGTGTTTTTTTTGAGTAATCTCGCCACTTTATTGAATAATGTTCATAGGTACACGGCTTGGGTTATGCGGAGTACCCAACCTAAGGCTAGGTTACATGCGAATTTGGCGAGATTATGAGCCTCAAAATTGTGGCCCCTATGGTTATGAACAAAAGTACATAAAATGAAACTAGTTCTACGAGCTATTATTTCATGGACGATTGCCGAGTGTGGACCTCCAGTGCCTTGATTTATGTCATTGACTGCACTCTGACAATCTGAAGCAACTAATAGACTTTGAATCTGGAGATCCTCTGCAAGAGCAAGTCCCTCCCTGCAAGCATAAGATTCCAAAAGTACGGGATCAATATCTCCTCGAAACACCACCATCGAGGACCCCAAATATGCTCCAGTGTGTTTTCGGCATACAACAGTTACTGCCCCTCCATGCCTGTAACGGGCCACAGCTCCATCTACATGAATTTTTTTAATATTAGTCGGTGGTGGAATCCATGTACGCTGCTCATTACCAGAAGACACACCAACTGGTTGTCTGACTTCAGTTTTTGGGAGTTGATCTAGCTCATTTATATAGGAGTTGACAAAAGAAAAAACTTGGTACGGGCTCTGGAAAATTGACTCGTGTATCGCCTTTCGCCTCACATACCATATAGACCACGGGGTGATCACCATGCGTGCAATCTCCCTTTCATCCAGAACCTCATTAATCTCAAAGAGCCAACTTCTCGCACTGGCTTTTGTATTCCCAGTTCATTCTGCAAATCGGTGCACATTCCGCCTCAGCTCGGGCTGGCCCATTTTATTATTTTTCTGTTTTGTAAAACCCAAGAAGGTAAGGTAGTAGGGCGTCAGGGATCAAACTCGTGACCTCTTCGCTGCAAGTGATCTGCGCCAACCACTACACCATCATGACGATTGTGTATAGCCACTTCCTTTATTTTCTAAGTATAGGATATGTTCCCTATGTTTTCTTTTTCCTTTTTCCTGTTTTTTTAATTTGTGAAAAAATTCAGATCAGTTTTTTTAAAAAAAATTGATGAGCTTTTTTCAATTTCAATGAGTTTCTTTTAAAATCAATGAACTTTTTCATTTTTGGTGAACCTTTTTTACAAAGAGGTGAATTCTTTTCCAAAATTGATGAACTTTTTAAAAATTTGTGGGTTTTTTCCAAAATTTCTGAACTTTTCTCAAAATTAAAGAACATGTTTTCAATATCAGTGGTTTTTTTTTCAAATTTGTGATTTTTTTTTATTTTAGTTTTTTCAAAATTTCAACCTTTTCTAGAAAAGTCAACGGTCAACCAGCCGGACCAGTTGAACCAAGCGACCGAGGGGCGTTCGAGCGAGCTGAGGTTTAGATAGGCCGGCTGAGATTGCTGGCGCCGATTAGGACCTCCCGTTTTCGTCGCTGATCGATTCTGCTTCGCAGCGTGGACCGGCACAGCGCATGTTGGTTCTCCTTCGGCGGTTTCCTGGATCAATGTGCCCGAAATGCCCTTGGCTCCCGCGCCTCCCCTTCCAAGATGCTTCCTTTTCCCCTTCAAAAGACGACGCCACCACAGGCGCACAGCCTTGCATCCTCGTCATCTTCGCCTGGACCCCTTGCTTTCTCTCTCTCTCGGGATCGCTCCACGCCACCTCCGTCTCCGCCAACCAGGGCGCGGGATCCCTCGGGTAGAATTGCGAAGCTGCAGATCGAGGTACTGTATCCCACAATTCCCTTCTCGCCGCTGATTAATTTCGTTCTGTCAGTAGCCGTCAGGTGATTAATTTCGGTTGTGGGTGTCGCCGGAGGAACCGTGGATCTTGAGCGAATCGTTTCGAGATCGAGCCCCCCTTGATCTGCCCTTGGTAGATCCCCGCTTTTCCGTTCAGAGCGCAGTGGCTTCGCTTATGTGGATTGCTCAGTGTTGTACCGTTGCTATAGATAGCCTAGTTCTTCAGACAACGAAGCTGGGAACAAGGATAGATGCACCCCTCAATCTGCGCCAGTATTTTTACGATCTGCGTCCCTCGAGTGCAACAGCCATAACCTCCATTTGGTCATGTTGTAATGAACTCACATGGCCCTTGATTTGCATTATTAATTTAATTTCAAGCCGCAGATGGCACCTGCGATGGATAGATCTTAGAACATCATTTCCTGCAGTACTGTAGTTCATCGTTCCATGTATCTTATGTCACTCACTCACTAGGCATGCCTCTTTTGTGAGGTCCCTACATAATAACCAGTGGACTGGATTCATGAGTTAACATGATGAATCGTTTAAACAGTGTATCTATCTACTAGCATGAATTATGATTTTCGCTTCTTCAATTATCTCTGAAGGTTGGTAGTACATTGCTTTGACACATGCAAGATGCAATATCGCCGTAATTAGATGTTTATTTCTACATCCCACCGAGGGCATTTATTACTGTGATCTTACAAATCAGGCTGTTCATAAGCATATAAAACCATGTACAATGCAAGGTTCTTAGTGAAGTACTTTGTAAAAATAAACAGATTTTTGCTTAAGCATTGTTGCTTGTTTCTATAACAGGGTGCCAAGCACCGGTGCTTCAGAAAAAACCTGTTCGTTTTACAAGCACCTCTCTAGGCACCTTGCATTGTACGTGACCTACTGCAGTTAATCAGTTAATGGTCTTCTTGTGGTATGCAATGGTTCAGAAAGAAAAAAAACATAGCAGTTCCTTACTCAACTTCCTTATGCTGATTCCAGTCATTCTCTTGGCATTGTCAGAAGTGAGCCATGGCGAAGATCAAGCCGAGAGCACTGCTGGCACAGAGCAAGCAGAAGAAGAGCCCTACTAAAATCGGCCCAACAATGTTTGCCTTCATCGTCGTTGGTGCCCTAGTGGTGTCCTCACTCTACGCATACAGGTACTGGATGAGCAAAGGACCAGCTGGAGCAGAAAGTGTTGCTGGGAACTAAGCCCGAGCAAGTGTGGAATGATTGATTTTTGTTGTTGTATGTATCATCTTGTTGGCTAATTTCTGTTGTTGTA